TATATATTCATATATATATATATATATATATACATGTATATACATACATATGTAGAATGAATTGTGATGAATGTCTCAGTATTTTACCATAGGAGATGAATTACCGACTGTAATTGGAAAAAGCGTAAGAGACCACGCCTAAAAGAGAAATATTCATCTCCCATGGTAAAACATTGAGACATACATTACGATTGAGTCTGTATGTATGCATATGTATATATATGTATGTATATGTATGTATGTATGTGAGATACATTTTTATTATACTTTTGATAAATATTGAACGATTGCGAGGTCACTGCAAACTCTATTGTACATAATTTTGTATTCTATATATTGTCAATAATTTCTACAATAATGGTTTGTATAAAAAGAAAGGATCAGTTGCAAATAATTCAGTTTAAATTCTTACGGTTTTTTGTGTAGCTATGGCTGCGTTCAAGGAGACGTTATTAGCACTATTTGTGTCATTTTATCGTTCATATATGAACGATGAAGATAGAATAACACAAATAACGCTACAACAAATAGCGTTTTTCCAAACGCATCTTATATAAATAATTCAATGTTTTCCTCATGATCTTATATATATATATAAATATATATATAAGATTATTACTGGTTGATATATTAAACTTTAAGAGAAAGAATTCATAAATCTAGAACTAACTTATTTTTTATTTAAGATTAATTATTTTTATTATTGAATACATTAATCGTATGAAATGCCAAAGATAATGATTGCGTTCCTTCGTTTTATGTTCGTTATCATGCTTCTACATGATAGACTTTTAGATTCAACATGATGGATTTTTGGAATCGCTTTTGGCATTCAAACGGTTAAATAACAAGAAAACCAAATATTAGTTTTCAAGCCATATAAACCAAATGAAGCTAACCAGTTTGTGTTCAAATTGCTGTGGAAAAAGTTCACCCATTTTTTTTCGAAGAAGCAATGTTATTTTATATAATCAAGATTGGGAAAGTTACTTTGTAAAAGTAGCTAGTTACAGTTTCAGTTTTTTTTTTGTTTCAAAAAGTAACTAGTTATGGTTTCAAATTATCTATTTTAAACGAATTACAGTTACAGTTACTCAGAAAGTAACTTTTTCAGTTTCTTTATTATTACAGAACAACATGAATAACATTTCGATATTATTAGAGCTAACAAAGGAAAAGATTGATTTACACGTTTACATTTTTATATGTTAAATAGGTTGTATATGATAACGGTACTGTAACTTTCGTGCCTTATAACTCGAAAAGTACTTAGTGAAAAAATGACTTTATTATAATGTTTTGAAAAGTTTCTCCATATCAGCTATTAAATTAAATCTGGAATGAAAATTAGGGTATCCCATTAAAAAAAAATCGACTTAATCTTAACATCTTCCAATGAATGTAATAAATAAATAGATTTTTTTAAAGCCTATAACTTGTTTGAACCATTTTTCTCAAAAATACTTTGTTTTTAAAACCTATTCAATCATTTCCAGACTTTTGACTAATTAAAGAACTTTCAATCTTAAAATGTAATAAACAAAGCAATAAAAACAAAGCTACTGAGTTATAGTTACAGTTAGAAAAGAAGAACGTAGTTATATTAAAGTTATTGAAAAAAGTAACTCTAACTGTAAAAGTTTTTATACTGACGCTAGACAGTCATTTTTAGCGTCAAAAATTTTTGATATTTGTGAATTTTTATCACGTGATCTATTTTGACGCTACAAACGTCAACGTCCAGCATCATAATGAAAACACGCTTTAACTTAGTTTACAAAAGTAAAAGTAGTACTTTCCAATCTTGTAATAATATTTAAATCTTTGTTTCTTACATTGTGTAAATGAATTGTAGGCTGCTATTATTGTCATTTAATTGAAGATAATTGTACATTAACTAAAAGTGTTTTTCCTATAGATATCTAAAGTGCTGATATATATTGAATCGTGTCTTTTTATATAAAAAATATGTTGTTTGAAAATATTAAATTCTTTTTTTATGTAAATATTTAATTTTTTATTATATATAATATATTATTATATATATTTATATATATATATATATCTAATATAGAAGAAATTGTTTATTTCTTAAATTAAATACAATATTATGAAGTACACAATTATAAATTTTAAAGAAATATAATAGCAGCTGTTTTTAATTTCAGTATAATTATATCACATCATAAATGTAACAAGTTTTATTTGTCTATTCTGTATATTTGATAACTGATCCTTTATTAATTATTACACTTTTAGAAGAAAAATAAAATCAGTATTATTTTTTTCATACTATACGAATTAACCAAATTTTTTACTTTCTATATTATTTACCAGATTAGAACAGCAATTTGTATGAAATATATCTAATTTAGCATTATCAATTTAATATTGTATTTGTTTATGAATTTTATTATTTTATGATTACAAATGGATGTCGATTTGAAAAATCTGACACAGTTGAACTGAATATTGTAGTATACCAAAAATTCTGAAGAAAGTAAATGTATTTTTTTTTTGTAGTATAAATTATTGTCAAACTGTATGTTTCTGGTAACAAACATTAGTATTTTTTTACTATGTGCATATGCATATAAACTGTATCTAAAGATTTTATGTAATAATGATGATTAAGGAGATAGTTGGGTTCTATGTATAGAATCAAAACATCATTTTTGTACGTTATTCTATATTTTATCTTTTATTAGTTAAAAATGGATATATTGATAATTATTTGTACAAGGTTTGTAGGTAAATAGAGGGGATAAAACTGAGTCCTATACCATTTTGTGATTTTTGCAGTAATTAACGGGATATTAATTACTAAAGATGTTGAATGAGCCTAGCTTGGAGTTTTCGAAACTCGAAACTTTTCTAAGTTTCGAGGTTTCGCGATTTTGTTCTCGCCGCGCGCTTGTAGTTAGTATTACACCGAATACACGTTTATTCAGTCTTTAATAATTAATATTTTATTAAATGTTGCAAAAATTACAAAATGATATTGCTCGACTCAATTTAGTTTGCTGTATCTGCCCACAAGCGTTGTTAATAATTAATAGACACTACGTGTATTTTGTCTGTGCATACATACACAAAATTCGTAACAGACGATATAATCGAGATGATTTTTTTAAATAAAAAAAATAAGTCGAAAGCATAGAATAAAATTTTTTTACATGAGGCTTTGTTTTCGAAAAAATGTACTTTAAATATCCTACAGATTTAATTTATAAATTAAAACACTTAGAACACGTTAGAAAGCGTTCATAGAATTTACTTCAAAGAGCAGAATTATGTTCGACAGAATGGATAACATTTTCAATAATTTATAATATTTATATATTTAAATGTAGTAAAATTTATAATTCGTGAATATTTTATTTTTATCATGTATTTTTGATTACCCAGTACAATAGTGAATACAAACATGAGCAGAGATAAGTTTACATCCAAATCCATGAGTCGAGACATATTAAATTCATACGTATCCGATATATATGTACGACGCATATGTAAAATCGATTTTCTCAGAAACAAAATCTCTTGAAAAAAGAGATTTTGTTATACGTTTTCGATTTTTTCATGTAAAATTATCCTCTTTCTGATATTGTCAGTTCATGAATACACGTATGTATACGTATACATGCAATACATATTTTTCCAAACATCATTATAGTTATGCTACAAGCCATTCCAATTATATAGATTATTTATTACATAAAATCTTTGTTTTAATGTGTAAAAGTTTAATAAAGCGGAATAAGTTTATTAACAAATAAATATTTGTACACATCTTTATTAACTAGAATTATTCTAATTATGTATTAAATTACGCATATATGTATGTATATATGTATGTATGTGCGCGTGTCGCGTGTATGTACATATATGCTGTGCGTCTGTTATGTATAAAAAAGATATTGAGGTATATCGCATTTAAGCTTTTATACATAAACATTATTTCATACAAACAGCTGATTGTATAAAAAATAATTGATAATCGGTATATTTTGTAAATGATATTTTTACATTCCTATAAAGATAATCAGGTCCATTTTCATCGTTTTTATAACAATAGTATTGTCTCGAACATACCTTGTTTTTATACTAGTTTTTATGTATATGTCGTTTACAATTGATGTGTTAACACTCCTTACACAGAGAGAACATCTATGATTTTTATAAAAAGATTTACAAGAAATATAAAAAAAAACATTGACATTCATCACATAAACAAATTCGTAAGTATAAGTTTTAGTAATTATATTCTATGTACAAAATTCTACGAATAACCTAGCTTAATAGAAAATTCTTTTGATATTTAAGTAGTCAAGTCATAGATGCGGTTAAAATTCGGGGAATTATGTTACTAGCATTTGGTATATATCTTACATTATGCTGCGGTTATATTTTATTGAAACTGTATTCTTGAACTATATATCGATATATGATGATGGATGTATCATATATAGTCTATTAAGCTATTTATAAATGGAACAGAAAATATACATGTAATGATAAAAACTTGAAATTTTATTATAACATAGATTGAGACTATAATAAATATGATAACATATTTCTTGAAAAGTTCCAAAATAATTTTTATATCATTTTTCTCAAATTGTCAAAAATGATTTTGATACATCCAATTTAATCTATTTAATATATTTCAAGTCATAAAAAAAGTTGTATAAAATGCATTTAAGCCAAATGTTGAAGAAATAACGTCATATTTATATATACTTTTATTCACACTTATATTCATAAATTAAAGAGAAGGAAATAAGAACTATTTTATTTACTTTTTTCCTGTAATATATTAAAAACAAGGATATGAATATTAAAACGAAGGAATAATGGATTGCGTATGTTTGTGTATACATAGATAATTAATTTTAAATACTCTCATTACTTTTAGCGCAGCCATGCTCTTTATATTTTATATTTTTCATTTAAATTTAATATTTAAAAAATAATTGTTTCCATGGAACTTGGCGATATTTTTTCGTATTAATGCTGACAGACTTATAGCAAAAGTATACATTCTGAATATTAGTTGGCAAATCATTACATATTATTTATATTAATATAACATAAATTGTAAGCACAAAATTATTTTTTTATATGTAACATATTTTAAAACCAAGTAGTTTCGAATTAAGGAAATTAAATTTTTCTTTTTTAACAAAAAAAGTCAAAATTATATTTTGTACAATTTTTTAATTTTTATATTTAATATTTAAAAAAAACATCAACAAAGTTATTTTAAATGGAATTTTTGTCAAATAAAATTTAAGATAAAATATAAGTTTATTATGAATTCTTATTTTTCGATTTCTTTATAATCACGCTTCTTAAAAGTTCCGTAATGGTTACACCGAGATCAAAATGATCCCAGAGCACAATTAACTTATTATACACACATATATATATGATTTCGTTCTATGAAGTAAAAAAATTACCGATTAAATGTGCTCTGGGATCATTTTTAACCCTACTGTGACCACGAAGGGTTAAATTTAATTATTGAAAATTCTTGAAATTTATAATTAGAAGATATTTTAACGTGTGACATTTCTGTTTGAAGTTTATGTTAAAATCTACCCCATTATTCAGTGGAATAAATAACAGTCTCATGACTTACATTCTATGTATACACATAATGTAACAAAACGAAATTGTTTAAATTGTGTATATTTTCTCATATTTTATAGTGATGTCTCTTTAGAGGTATACAGGAGAGAGTGTTCTATGTATTATCGAAATACAATGAAAAAAATATGAAAAGGAGATATAATAGTTAACGAGAATAATGTAAATGGTACAGATGCATAAACAATAATCTGTGACGTTTGAAAGCACAATAATATATTTAATTTTTTTAACGGTACTATAAAATGATTATTGATAATAAATTTTTGTAACATTTTTAAATTATATATACTTCCTACATTTCATGATTTTATTGTCTTGCATTTTATTATATGTGAGCTAAAGAATGTAGATATGTCGTGCCTTTTGTACATTGTACATTTGTATATAACAATATTTTACATGAATTATTATTACAATGTAGTTTATACACAAATAATAAACAATTTTAAAAGACATAATGGTATGTTAATTTACTAATGACTAATAGATATACCCAATTGATTATACGATAAAAAAAATATTTTATGTAACAATAGGCTAACAATAGATATTAGTGTGACATTAATTTACTTGTTCAGAAAAAAAAACGTTATTGATTACTTAATTACATCAATGGAAAATGTATTGTTATTATAATTATTTATTATTCATTCGTGATTCATATATTGATATTAAGGCTCCCGGGTACTTATCTCAACCATATTGAATCGTGACATCATGAACCTCATGATTCAGTATGGTTGAGATTGATAACTCAAGGAGTCTTAATATTATATATTATTGTGTTATATGTGACCATAGACATGAAATCATACCACTAACCAATAATATAAATGCATTTCGTATGCGTATACGTTAATTTTATATAATAAATAAGTACATCATTTTTTATTGAAGTATTAATTATTACATTTATTTATAAATCGTGGTTTTATACAACGAGTATATATACTGTTAATTTTTACAATTGTGTGTACGTATGTGAAAAAAATAGCTTAGTTTTCAATCCTAATAATAGTAATTTTTCTTCAAATATTGCTAATATGCAATATGCACTAAATAATACAGTACAGAAAATATTTTATCTAAATACATCACATTGGCAGTTATTCTAAGCGATTATAGTAATTACATTATATTTGTTCAAATATTTTTTATATTGCAACAACATTTACATTTTTCTTGCTTTAGTAATATATAGTATCAAAAACGTATACAAAAGTAAAAATATAACTTCATTTTTTCAATTAGGAAAAAGCTTGTAGAACTGTGCAGTCTTTTACTATGTGTTTTGGCGATAAATGTTTGCATAACTAGACTGCTCACTTCAATATGCTTGTTGCTAAGCATGATGTAAAATAAAGTCACCAATCGTTTAAAATTAGGGAGGGACTGCCCAATTTTGTAAAAATAAATTTGAAATAATAAGTGAAAATAACCAGTATGAAATATAATAGTTGTCAATTAACATATAAAGAATTTTGTAATTTTTATTTAAATTCAGATTTATAAAATACATTCAGTAGAAAAGTAAACAAAAAAAATAAATTCGTAATTTTTTATGTAATTTTTGTTGTGATCTCATACGATGTTATATATTAAGTTATTAGTTAATTTACAAATATAATAATATAATAATATTTTTAATGCATAATAATATAATGTGTTTCATTAACACTTATTAAAAATGTTTATCTATTAAAATTTAATTACAATATTGAATTTTTTTAAATGTCCTTTCTCTTCGTAAGGAGTTATCGAAACTTTTTAGTTTCAAAGTTAAAAAACATTTTAGAAAAAGAAATTTTTTCATAATAAAAAAAATCTATATTTTTGCGAAAAATCATTGTGCTGATTTTTTTTTAAAAACATTTTGAAGCTTAGAAATTTGTTTTTATTTTTAATTTTAATTTAAAGTAGATTTTCCAAGTATATAAAATCTACTTTAAAATGTTTATTTGTTAAATTTTGTCCAATAATGCTTCATCCAAGTATAGTATTTACAAAAATAACAAAAATATTGAAAAAAATGTCAATTTTCAATATTTTTGTAATTTGGGACCAAAGTAGAGACAAAATGTCAATTTAAAAAAAGTTTTCTCTTTAAAATGTATTTATAAAAACTTCTTTATTATTTTTTTTTCACCGGGATATTTAAGTTTTTGTAAAATACGAGAGTATCACAAGTATTTTGGAATTTATGAACGGTAATATGTACATAAATGTGTAGTGTTGGTCATATAATAAATCCATCACATACACTCATACATAATATGCATACAGATAATATATATGTATAGATGGACACAGATAAGAATTTTTCAACCTCATTTTTATTTCTTTTTGATAACCGAAGTGAGTAGTCTAATTATAGCAATCTTTTAACAATAAGAATTTTAGAAAATGGCAGCATCGATCGAAGTGTATACTTTTTAATTCGTATTTTTTTCTCCTTACATTATAGTTCGATATATATCAATTATTAAATACTATGAAATGCTCTTATACAGTTACTTATGTTTACGCATATAACATAATCTCGATAGATATAAATTTGTGTATATGATACGTGTATTCAAGGAATGTAATAAGTAATATATGCTGCAAAATTATTTTCGAAAGATATCTGAGACAACTAAGAGATCTCACTTTCATTTATATCATAATAATACATGTTATATATCGCAGAAAATTACAACAAATACATATATATTCCTAGTTAATTATCACTTTTATAACGTATTATTTTGATTTGTTAATTATTGTTGTTGCTAGAAGATACATTTCTGTAACTGGAAAAAGTATAACTCGAAATTTTTCTAATACGAAAGTGTAACTATTTATTTTAAATCTTGTACTTTTAAGCTGAACTTGTGTAATTTCGTAGCAAGTTTTCCTAACTTATTACATCTCTTTAGAATAACATAAATATAATAAACTTATTAAAATCTGCGACTGTTAAACCAATTTTACACACTTACATTAAGAGTTAAATGACTTTGTCCATTCGATATAAAGCAATTACATGGGTGTAAACAATTAATTTAATTAACGGAAACATTGATATGAAAATTATAAATATTTTCAACATATATAACAATCAACAACAATTAAGTTTAAATAGTTCTACGTTTACATATCTCATATATATGTCAAAAAAAGTGAAAGAAAGGTAATAGTGTAATTAAGATATAAACAAATATAATATCAGAAAATATTGAAAAGAATTACTTAAAGGCATAAAAAGATGCCTTAATTAATATAATATTATGCTAACCTGAAAAGAACTTAGATATTTTTAATTATGAGATTCACATATGAATTATGCATAAAAGGATAAATATGTAAAATATCGCGTGTTTTCGAAGATCTATCGCTTCGCGATATTTTACACGATAAATACCACATTCGAAAAATTTTATATCCTAATGCTTTAAATTTCAAATTTATAACTATTGCATTTTCAGCACCACTATTCAATTCGCATACAAGCTTCTTCTAATTGTACATACTGAATATCGTCGTTCCACAATTCTCTCCGAATTTGTATACTCATAACAAAGTATATTTGTAAAAGACTTTCAAAAATTGAAAGAATGTACAAGTGTATATGTTCAGTTGTGCAAGCTATTAATATTTTCAAAAGTATTCTCAAACTATTGGTGCTTCTTTATTGAGATTCTCGTCGTATTTATATAAAATTAAGAAGTCTATTCTGTAACTCTTAACGACTGTAATTGTAGCACTATGATCGATAAGGGTACAGTATAAGTTCCCAAGTTATAATGAAGTTTCAATATTACAAGGCAAATTTATTTTCTTCAGTAGAAAAACTTTGAAATGTCACGCGTTGGAAATGTCAAAAAAATTAGAGTTCAAGCTCTTCAGCAGTACGCGAGAGTCTATGATTATCGATACGTCGTCGTTGGCTACGTCTTACAGCATCCGCTCTACGATATGGTTCGGACCTGAGACCAAGAAGAATATCCTCTAGAGCGCCATTGTATACTTCATCTTGTTGCAGCAACTTTTTCTCTTGCACTAATCGTGTCTTATTCTTCAATTCGTTTATAACAGCATCCTAATATGTAGATAATATGTAGCAGAATGTTAATTATAACAGAAAAAATTTTTAATATTTATATCGAAATTCGTAAATCATAATACCACAGTAAGAAAGTTATTTGTAAATTAGGGAGATAAATTAAAGAGAAGAAATTTAAGAAATTAAAGAAATTTTTTTTTAATCTAAATTAGAGAGTGAGCTGAAGTTTATCGAAAGATGGAACAATCCAACCTATATCTCACAAACTTACTGCTTGAAATAAAAATGCAAACATAACTTTTTTTACTCAATTTCTTGAAAACTCTTACTGTGGTTTAATTTTAATTCACGAATTTCGGGACATTCTGATATGTTTCATAAATATGTAGGGTATCTAAAATCAGCTATCACCCTTATATTTTGAAAATGGTTAAAAATTATGAAAAACTGCGAAATACGTGTCCGCTCATTTCGAAAGGCTGTTTCTTTAAAGGGATTAGGGAGGTTGCAAAAGCCCCTCGAAATGATCGAACGTATTTTATGGTTTTTCATAATTTTGAATTGTTTCCAAAATATATAAGGGTGATAACAGACTTTATAAACATCCTGTCTATAACTTATAAATTATTGGTATATAAATATACTAAAGTTTTAATAAAATCTTATCGGTCTTATTTCTCAACATATATTGTTTAATATTAAAGTTATACAGGCTGTTCCCGGGTTAAACCGTCAAACTTAAAGTGTGAATTTAAGACTTTAACTATAGTTGTAACTTAAAAAGTCAATATATCTTAAACGAAGCGTTTATGAGTAAACTTAGAAGAAATTTTATTTTAAAATCTTAAGTTTATATTTTATATTTTATATTAGCGGTTTAACCTGGAAATTCTCTGTATATTATATATTTATTAAGAAATGTAAAAAAGCAAGATTTGTTAAAATTATAATTTCAAATCAAGAAAAATTTAATACAATTTTTATGTATGTTACGCACTTATACGATATACGAAATTTTATAGCAATGAAAGTAAAGCGATAATAGAAACATTTTTTCAGGCAACATCAATATGAGTTAAAACATGCAAATGAGTACTTCGATTGTTATTAATAACTAACAGATGTAATATAAAGAATATGAGTTTATGAAACAAATATGTACAATATATAGTACTATATCAT